CGCCCCTCAGTGGTTCTGCCCCGCTCCCCCCGTACTGTCCGGCAGTGGTTGCTGCCCCGCTCCCCCCGCTCCCCCCGGCAGTGGTTCTGCCCCGCTCCCCCCGCTCCGCCCCGCGGTGGTTCTGCCCCGCTCCCCCCGCTCCGCCCCGCAGTGGTAGCGGCGGGCGGTGACGCGCGGGCCATGGCGGCGGTGGCGGCGCTGCCCCCGGGGCCGCTGTCGCCGCCCGGCCCCGCGGGGGACGCGGCGGCCGCTGAGGGCGCCGAGGGGCTCTTCGTGCTGCTGGGCGCGGGCATGGCCGCCGCCAGCCACCCCCTGCTCTACGTCAAGCTGCTCGTGCAGGTCCGGCTTGAGGTGGGGGGGGGGGGGGGGGGGGGGGGGGGGGGGGGGGGGGAAGCGGCGGGATGGGACACGGGTGGGTAAGGGGGGGTGAGACACCCCCAAACCCGGCGTGAGGGGGAGGTGGGCGGCTGTGGAGTGTGGGTGGGGATCAGTGTGGACGGCCCCCCATGACCTGTTGTAACAGGACCCCTCTGTCGGGTGGGGGCACCTATAGAGTGGTAATGGGATATAATGGGGGATGAGGACCCCACTATAACAGGGGGAGGTGGGCTGATGTAGGGTGCCCCTGCGGGGACCTCCATGGGATGGAGAGCGGTATATACAGTGATAACAGGACCCCCTGTGCACCTACAGAATGGGGGGCACCCATAGAATGGTAATTTGATATAATGGGGGATCAGGACCTCACTATAATGGGGGGAGGTGGGCTTCTGTATAGTGTGTTTATAGAGACCTTCTTGGTATGGGGATCACTATATACAGCTCCCCATGTTATAGCAGGCCCCCCTGTGCAATGGGGGCACCTATAGAACAGGGGGTACCTGTAGAATGGAGGACCCCCATATGTAATGGGATGGGGTCCCTGTGTATAATGGGGGTCTCTATAAAAATGGAGGGCTTGTATAATAGGAGGAAGACCCCCAATACAGTGGGGGCTCCTTTATAGTGGGGGCATTGGGACCCCCTCCTACGACAGGGGATGGGAACACCTTGCGCAGTGAGGACCCCTATAAAATGGGGGGGATGAGAATCCCCTCTATACTGGGGGCTCCCGTATAAGGAGGGATGGGAAACCCCTTTATAATGGGTATCCCGAGAACCTCTCTGTAATAGGAACCCCCTAAAATGGGAGAGCGGGGCCCCCTGTACCCCTGGGACCCCATATAATGGGAATGGGAGTGCCTGTGTCGTGGCATCCCCATGTATCTGAGGGTGACAGGGGCATCGTGGCCCTTTGGCAGCTCATGGATGCTGGATCAAGGCTTTGGGAACACCGGGACAGGGACCTGCTCACGGGGTTTCTCTCACAGGTTGGGCACGAGCCACTACCTCCAACTGTTGGAAGAAATGTGCTGGGGAGGAAGGTCCTGTACCTGCCTGGCTTCTTCACCTACGGTGAGTGAAGGTCCCCTCCTGCCAACGCTGCTCCAAAACAGCCCTGCAATAACCTGCCCCGCCCCTGCCCTGCTCACTGGTGTTGTAGATGGAGCCCTAAAGGGACAGAAAGACCAAGAAAAGGGAAGGCGATACGTTCAGAAGGAAAAAAAAAAAAAAGAAGTGTTTTGCTCTCTTTGGGAGAGGGGGGGTGAATGTTTTGTGACCTGCTGTCACAGCGGTTGTGCTGCGGGGAAGGGGAATGCACAGTCCTGAAAGCCGAGTTGGGCCAATCCCAAAATCTCTCAGCAGCACCCACGGGTTGGGAGCCAGCACAGGAGCAATGTAAGAGCACTGGAAACCCCTCCTGAGGCACCTAGGGCTGGAGACAATCTGGTGCTGCCCTTTGGAAGATGCATTTTCCAAACAGATGGGCAGTGTTGGGTGATGGAGGGGAGGCAGAGCCCTCCTGACAGCACCAGATAGGAGAGCAGGAACAGTCAGTACCCACCAGCACATGTGTTTGTGAGATCCATATTAACCCTGAATCTGACCCCTGGGGGTGGAGGGAGAAGGTGACACCACACAGCACGTGGGATGATCCCCGGTGACACCACATGGGGTCATCCCTCCCGACCCTGGTTCAGTCCAAATTTGCCCTGTAGCCCTTTCAGGTGAGCAAAACCATCAAAAGATGAGAAGGAGCCCGAAATACTGGAGCTTTCCTTCCAGATTAGACAGATGGCAGGGAACAGGGATTCTTGGCATCCTGCAGGAAGCTTATTTGGAACTGTTACATTAATAAATCGCTTATGGTGGGACTGGTGTGGTTTTGGCTGAGTGCTGGAGGTGTTTGGGGTGTCTCTCTCCATGAGCTGACCCCTTCCTGACTGACAGCAGCCTGGTGTTTTCTCACCCAGCCAGACACATCGTGGAAGTGGATGGGAAAAGAGGCCTCTTCCGTGGTCTGACTCCTCGCCTCATCTCAAGCACTTTATCAACCATCACCAGGGGGAGTGTGAAGAAGGTAAGGGTCGGATTCTCTCTCCATTAATCACTTTGCTGGGTCAGTCAGTGCTACTGCAGCAGAGCTGGGAGCCTGCAGGTGCCTGCAGCCAGCCAGGACTGCATGTGGAGGACCAATGCACCCATCCCTCTCCATGTCCTAAGGGCTTGGAATAATCCTCCAGCACCCATATCCGCAGAACTTTTTTTTTATTTTAAATTAATTTTAATTTAATATGAACATTCCCTTGCATGTTAGCTCTTGTCAGCAGTTTCATGACCCCTCTGTCATTCTGTTTTACTTTCCATCCTTCCTTCTCCTGTGTTCCTTATTGCTTTTTTTGTCTTCTCCTCACATCTGAAACACAACTGTTTGTGGTTTCCCCCTGTCCTCAGATGTTGAGGGTTTGTGGGGCAGCATCTCCATCAGTTTTGACCATGTTTCTTCCCTCTCCACTCAGGCTTTTCCACTGGAAGATATGGAGCATGTGTCTAACAAGGATGATGTGAAAACTTCCCTTAGGAAAGTGGTCAGAGAGGTGAGGAGTGGATATTGCACGTTAATGAGTGATGGGGAGATCCCTCTGGGGACATGGAGAGCAAAGGAAGGTTAAACCATTGTCTGTGGGTGAGATTTCTTGGAGAGAATCTCAGGGTGAGGAGTCCCTGGTGTTAAGGAGCTATTCTGTGTCCAGCCATGAAATACTTCATAGAGGTTTGCCACGAAGAACAGATTTCAAGAGGGACCCAAAATGGGTTTCCCCCCAGTAAGGGAAGGGGCCTGATCTGTGCAGGTGGAACAGCACAGCTTTTCATACAAGGTGTGTTTGTTCTCCCCAGACATCCCACGAGATGATGATGCAGTGTGTGTCCAGGGTTGTCTCACATCCGCTGCACGGTGAGTCCTGTCCCTCCTCCTGGCAGCTCCCTCCAGGCTGAGCATCACCCCAAAACCCTCCTTACTCACACTCCTCTGTCATACAAGGCTGATGCCTGGGTTGGCATCGGGGACTAACCCAGCCCAGCAATGAGCTGCTCTCTTCCCGTTCATCCAATAGCTTTTCCCAGAGATCCCACTGGGCAGTAGCAGCCTTCTGATACCTAAAGGGGCTCCAAGAGAGCTGAGGAGAGACATTTTTACAAGGGCCTGGAGTGGCAAAACAAGGAATGGCTTCAAACTGCCAGAGGGCAGGGCTAGATGGGATATTGGAAAGAAATCCTTCCCTGTGAGGGTGGGCAGGCCCTGGCACAGGTTGCCCAGAGAAGCCGTGGCTGCCCCATCCCTGGAAGTGTCCAAGGCCAGGTTGGACAGGGCTTGGAGCAACCTGGGCTAGTGGAAGGTGTCCCTGCCCCTGGGGTCCCTTCCAGCCCAAACCTCTCTGTGATGCTACAAAATCCTTCCCACCCCTTACAGGCTCAGGAAAGGCACCTGTTTCTAGTGAGTCTTGCCGTGATGAGCACTGAGAGGAGCTGGACGTGCTGTGAGTTGAGGGAAGGCAGAGCAGGAGGGTCAGGCTGAGTTTTCCTTCCCAACCATTGCAATCCAAACTGGATTTGTTTCCTCACCAGCCCTGTGTTTCTTTCCTCCCAGTGATCTCCATGCGCTGCATGGTCCAGTTCGTGGGCAGGGAAGTCAAATACAGGTGAGTGGCTGCACCTCTGGAGGGTCTGGGGGTCAGGTGCTTCCACGGCATGAGAAATACAGCAACCCAGGAGGTTTGGGAGAGCGAAAAATGAATCTGAGCTGTGGTTAGAGGGTGGGTGACTGCAGGGTGAGGGGGCATGGGAGGGCTGGGGTCTGTCCCACCTCTGTTCCACCTTGTGCCTGTGGGGTTTGGGGGCTGTAACACACCTTGCTGATCACACATCGATTCTCCTGCCTTTTTGCTTTAGGTGTTAATGGAGAGGGAAGGCAGCAGGGAGGCAGAGTAGATAACACGAAGCATTGCAGGATTTTTCCAAGTCTTTTCCAGCAATACCTGCCCCTCTGCAGCCACGTGGAAATGTGCTAGACAGGATTGCAGCTAACCCACGACAGCCAGTGTGAGTTCCCAAAGGCAGGACGAGGTCCTTGGGCTGAGAATCAGCCTAATCAAACCATATTTTGTGCTGTGGTTGTGGCCCTTGTGTCCACTCAAACTCACTCAGAGGTCTTGTACCTTCAGCATTAAACAGTTGCCTGCAGGGTGAGTGTTGTTCTGGGTGTCATTGCAGACTGGGAGAGGGCAGACACGACCTTCCTTCCCTCAAACGTCCCTGGTTTGAGGAGAACAAGCTGCCTTCTGCTGGAGTGATGGCTGGGGAGACACTGCCATGGCTGGGGGCTGCACGTGAAGCTGCACAGGGCAGGGGTGGAACAACCCCTGCATGCTCACAGCTCTTCTCCTTTCTTGGCAGTGGTGTGTTCAGTGCCATTGGCAGGATATTTAAGGAAGAAGGGATCCTGGGATTCTTTGTGTACGTGAGTTGTTTAAATATTTCCTCCCTCAGTCCAGAGGCACCGATGGCTCTCCTGGTTGCTCTGCCAAGCTCAGCCAGAGCCACACTGAGCTGAAACCTTGTCTGACCAAAAGGCTCTCACATCACCTCCCTGAGCACAGATTAAATCTGTGCCTTTGACAGTGCTCCAGTTTGACCATTAAGTTTGCCTCAGATCTTATCTTCAATCAAACCTTCAGAAACCAGAGGAAACCCTGTATTTTTTCTTATCTTTCTTTTCCCCTTAACGCTTCTTTGTGTTTCAGTGAAGCATTTAAAGCATTTGTTTGTGCAACAGGCACCAAGATCAAGTGCAACAATAAGATCCCTTGTTGAAATGAAAGCCAGGGCCTTGGATAAGCAGCACATTCCTCTGCAGGGCACAGTGGGTGCTTGTAATGAGCTGGTGGCAGCAGGTTTACCTGTGTGGTGGGAGGAACCTGCCTGGACCAGGAGGAGCTGAAAGATGCTTCCAGCTGCTTCCAGGAACATGGCAAATTGGTGGCATCACTGAAATGGAAGTTCAGGGGACAGCTTTTTGCTTGAACCCTAATTAATGCTTCCTGCCTTTCTTTTTCACATCTACACAAAAGAAGAGCCACCTGCTGTCTCTGCTTATGGTGGGGAGAAAACTCACTTTATTATGTCAATAGTGCTAAAGGCAGCTCTGAAATGTTAGGAGGGGTTTTCAGGATGCCTTTGGCTCTGCAATGACAAAACAGGGGCCTCCAAATGAAACCTGAATGCATCAGGAAGAGGAAGCAATCACAGGGGGTCTCGTGAGGAAAGGGCTGGGGGTCTGCAGAGCCCCTGTCAATGAAATGTCACTTCATCTTTTTAGCTGAGCTGTGCAGCTCCACATCTCCTCCATTAAATCCAGGTTCCTCTGGGACAGTCCCTGAGTGTGGGGTTTGGTTGGAGCAGGCTGCTCACAACCCTCCACCTCCCAAGGAAGTGATACAAAAGGAACCACCACATTCCCTTCCATCCACATAAAATAAACACTCCTGGTCGCCTAATTAAACTTAATAGTTCACAGGGAAGGCTTTAACACAACCCAAATTGTCTCAGGAGGGCTCTGAAGCTCTACATGCTCCATAACCCTCTTAGGAAATCCCACTGCTCTGAGGGGAGCACAAACTGCATCTGAGGGACCAAACTGCTGGGTTTCTCCTCTCAGCCCTCCTGGTGCAATCCCAGCACATCCACTCCCTTAAAATCATCACAGTGCATTTGTTTTTTGTGGTCTTATAACCCCTACACAGCAATAATAGCAGCACACACTCTCTGAAGGAGTGCCTGGCTAGAGTTAAGTCCGTCCCCAAAAAGTCTTTATCTCCCTTCCCCTCATATCTGCAGCAGGCTCCTGCCAGGCCACAAAGATGTCCCCTGAGCTCTGAAACTGCTGTGCATGGTCAGCTCAAAGGTGGCTTGTCCTTTGCCCTGGGGTTTCCTCCCCCTGGGTCACTGTACATCATTCAGGCTTCCTCATCTGCCTGTTGCTGTTCCAGCTTTTCATCATCTTCCAAAAATATTCCTAGTCCAGATGTTGGACATCTCACCAGGTGTGAGAATTGTACTCCTCACTTCATTATGGCAATAACAGTAAAGGCAGCTCTGAAGTTTCAGGAGGGATGTTCAGCCCCTGATGCCTTTGGCTTGCTGGCTTTGTTTAGCCCCTTTCTGCAGCTCTGTCCCTGGTCTCCAGCATCCCAGAAGCTCAGGGCCAGCATCTGTCATTATTGTGGAGGGGAGAAAAGGATGAGATCCTTGTTGCAAATGGAACAAACGATCCAATTCTCTATCAACACACGGGTGAGGTTTTCCTTATGTGGCTCCCCTGGCCCAGCTTTCTGTTTCTGGACTTTATTAAACCCTCATCGTATCTGCAGCAGCTCAGGGGCTTCAGACTTTGAGTTAGAGAAAGGATGTTTTTTTACAAAGGCTGAAAGCCAAACACAAAGCAGACCATCTCTTTGGGAACCAGAGAGCTTTGATTTCTTTGTCCTGTCTGCTGCTCTCATGTCTCACATCTTTTAAGCCGGCGGGTCTTCTGTTGAAGATTTCTGCTGTGCTTGGCCCCTGAGACCTCAGCTGCATCCCCAGAGCTGCCAGGGCCTTGAAAATACACAGGTTGTCTCCAAAATGTGCCAGCACAGCACGCTGGATCAGAGTCCGAATTGCTGCTCTGCTGCTGCAGCAACCACAGCAGGAAACAAAACTGGTCCCCTGCTCCAAGAGGCAGCACTGTGTTTGAGAAGAAATGAATAAATCAGTGCTTGGAGGTGGGTCTTTCCAGCCCAGGAAATGCTCATGTGGCTCTCAACAGGCTCATTTTCAGAAGCACTGACCACATCTGTTGGTGAAACACAAGTTTAACACACCCCTGGATCCTTTTGTGGTGGAACAAGCCCTGCAAAAGCAGGAAACGCTGTGCTTGATGGTGCAGCAGATGCTGCCAAAGCACCAACAAACTGGAGAAACCCTTTGGAATGTTTTGTTAATGTTTTTAGTGCCATTATCTGCAGAAGTTGGGGGTGCTGGCGCTGCTGGGAGCTCTGATGTGGTGTTGGGAGGCATAAACCAAAGAACTGTGCTCCTGGGAGCAACAGGGACTGGGAAAAATCAGAGGGACACAAGTGCTGCCCCCAGTTAATCCCATTTTTCAGTGGAGCAGGTTGTGCAGGAACAACCCCCCTCATTTTGTTTTCCAGAAGAAGGGAGATTGCAAAAAGAGATGAACTTCTCATCCTGCATCCAAAAGAGCATCTGCAAAAATGGAAATCACTTCATCTGTGTCTCGCTTGGGTTTCTGAGCAAGAGTTGGGCTGAGGGATTTTGGGATAGAACAAGGGGAGTTGAGTCATGCCCAAACAACAGATCCCAAAAACTTCTCACTCCAGAGCTGAGTGAAGGGTGGGAGATCTCTTCCCTGAAATCTCCCTTCTCCCTTTCAGTTCCTTCCTAAGTAAAGACGCGTTCTGGGGGAGTGGGTTTCCTGCGTGCTGGTGAAGGGAAGGAGGGCTGGGCACCTCGGAAGGTGGCACTGGGACCCTCCTGCACCTCACACCCCTCCTTTTGCCGTTGCAGTGGTTTAGTCCCTCACATCCTGGGGGATGTCATCTTCCTCTGGTGCTGCAACCTCGTGGCTCACTTCATCAACACCTACGCGGTGGACGATAACGTGAGTGGAAGCGCCCAGTGGAGGGTTTGGGGTCTGGACCAGGCACCTGCAGTTGGAAGGAGTTACTGGGAAGCAGGGGCTGATTTAATAGAGATACCTGGCTTTGGGTCCATCCCTGTGAGAGGGCTGAAGGTGCTGTGTCTGCTCGGGGCTGTGCTTCACCTGCAGTTTTGGGGGATCAGATTTGACAGCAAATGCCTTCCCAGGTTCTCAGCTGGGGTGCAGCACGATCTCTGTTGCTTTCTGCCTCGTTCCTCTGCCCCACGCCCTCTGCCTCAGGCACAGGGGGATGTCACACAGTGACTGTGACAGCCTGGTGCCATCCCCCTCCTCCACAGCCCCTGTGGTTTCTCTTTGCAGTTCAGCCAGGCATCAGTGATCCGGAGCTACACGAAGTTCGTGATGGGGGTACGTAGGCAGCTGCCACGTCCTTTCCCCTCTTCCTGCCATTTTGGGGGGGTGAGAGCTTGTGGCCTGGAGGCAAAAGCTGGTCTGTATGAGGAGAACATGCAGAAGTTGGAAACAGCTTTCTTGACGTGGTGAGCGTTAGAGAAGCCACTGTTTTCCTGTGCTTTCAGATTGCTGTGAGCATGCTGACGTACCCATTCCTTCTCGTGGGAGATCTCATGGCAGTGAACAACTGTGGGTATGTCCCTCACACTGAGATCTAAAGCTTTCCCTTTCCTTTCTTGCAGCCCCCTTGTTTGAGCCCACTGCTAACGACCGTAAAGCTTTCCTACAGAACCATAAACTCTGTGGCACCTCGCAGAGCTGGCTCGTTTCCTGTCCCAGGTTGCTTATAATTTTAGATCAGAGGGCACAGACACAAGCAGCAGAAAAGCTCAAGCGGAGAGAAATAGGGAGAGCCGTGGTGGTGCGGTCCAATCTGAGCTAGACTGGAGGCAGAGGGATCAAAGGGACCCTGCTGGCTCCAGGGAGGGGCACGAGGGGAGCAGAGCTCTTACTGCAGTGATGGGTGCAGACAGGGGCAGGACCAGGACCAGGCTTGCCTTCCCAATCCCACTGCTTCAGGAAATCTGCATTTGTGCTCATGGGAAAGGGATCCAAGCAGCTGGTGGAGTGTTTTCTCAGTATCTTCTGGCTCTTGAAGCTGTAGATACAGTCCTGGACTCTTAACGTATCCAGGTAACGCTCCTTGTTTGTACACTCCAGGGGTAATTAAATTACATGATCTGGTGCATTGTAAATAACGAGCTGGTCATTTGGCCGCCAGCCCAGTGCAGACACTGCTTCTGTGTCCTCACTTACACTCAGTGCTGCTCTTGTGTTACCTGTCTGGATAACATGACATCCCTCAGCTGTCCCTTGTTGCCACGCAGGTTGCGTGCCGGCCTCCCTCCCTACGCTCCTGCTTTCACATCCTGGATCCACTGCTGGAGGTACCTCAGTGCTCAGGTGAGGGAGCGGGGCACACGCTGGGCTTTGGGCTCCCTCTGCTCCTTCCCAGGGTCTCCAGCATTCCCCAGAAGTGCTGCATCCTCGAAGTGCTTTTGTAACCTGCTCCTGTCCCTCTGGTTTGGCACTGGCCCCAGCCGTGGCAGTGCTGCCCTGCCCGTTACGTGCCCCAAACGGGGCCTGCAAACTTTCAGCCAGCACAGTGTCTCTGCCCCTCTCCATCCATCATCCCGACTCCAGCACCCAGAGGGCTGAAACACCACTTACTCCTCCATAGCAGCCCAGGGTGCCCAGACCTGGGCATGAGCCATCCCTGCTGAACCAGCTGCAGCTCCCCAGCCGGGTCTCGGCACGGCTGCCCTGACCCTGTGCTCGCTCTCCTCCGCAGGGGCAGCTGTTCCGTGGCTCCAGCCTGCTCTTCCGCAGGGCTCCCATCCCAGCTGCCTCCTTCCCCATTGACTGACCCTCAGCAGGGACAGCTGATGGACGTGGACTCCTCGAGAAACCCCGAGCTTGTTTCGATATGTGTAATATTTCTATTCTCCGATCCGAAGTCTGCGGTGCCAGAACTGACACCTCCTCTCCAGCAAGGCCAGTGACAGACTGGCTTCTGGACATCTGGCTTCAGGCTCCAGCTGGACCAAAGCTCCATCCTCATGGCTGTCTCGACTGGAATGTGTAGCAGAGAGAGCAGAAGGGCGTTGTCTTGTCTCTTTGGTCCAGGCTGTAGCTCTGGAGTCACTGGGGAAGTCCAGGAATCCAGAAAATGCCCAGGTACTAAAGGAGCCAGCCCTGAGATGCAGGAACAAAAGACTGCTTCGTGCTGCCCGAGCTGAGAAGCAGCAGGAGCTCCAGGGTCACCTCACTGCAAAGGTTATGCCAGGTGACCACCCTCCTGCCTCATCCTTCTGGAGAGGGCACACCTTTGTGTGGCAGGGAGCTCATCCTGGGCAAGATCAACCTGGGATCCATATTTAAGGTTTGAGGGTACCTGAACACCCTGGGAGCACCCCACCTCCCACGGGTGTGAGAGGGAAATTACAGGATCAAAACAGAGAAGGGAAACAATCCCTCTACAAAGAACAGCAGAGTCCCAAAGAGACAGGTACAGCTCAGCTCAGGGCAGTGTTGGGACATGGACACAGAGAGAGCACTTGGGGAGGGATATATGCTGCTGATGTCACTGCTTTGGAAAGGATTTTAGTATTTAAGGTTCACCCAAGAGAGCTGCTGGTGTGGGCTGGGCAGGGAGGGAGGGGAGCTGGGTTGGACTGGCCCGACTGCACTGATGGGCAACTCCCAGGCAGCAGCACCAGGAGCCCTGCTGGGCTCCCAAACCCCTTCACTGATGGACATGGAGGCACTGGATGCCAGTGCTGCACACAAAGGGCTCCCTTGCAGCAGGGGCACACGGTTCAGGGCTGTATGGAATAAAGGAATAAACCTGGAGCTGGCCAAAGGCTCACGAGGCATCGGGGTCAAGGGCTCACAGGAACACTACTCTGTGTGTGTAGCAGAGCTCACCAGTGGCAGCAGGGCAGGATTTATGCTCAGATGAGTATTTTTTTGCACCAGTCTGTGCTGCAGTGGCAGCCAGGCAGATTTCCCCATTTTGGTTCCCCCACGAAGCAGTCTTTTGCACAGAGGTGATGCTGCACTCCCTGGGAAGAGGTTGTGGGGACCACAAGCGGGTTCCTGCGTGCTGCAGGAGCACCAGCTGGGGTCACATCTCATCCTGGTCCTCGGGGGACCCCGGCCTGCCATCACACAGGGCTTTTCTCCATCAGACAGGGTCGATCCACACTTCCCAGGCAGGGCTTGCAGGACACTGGTGGTACTTGCTGGGACTGGCAGTCCCCACCCAGCTCCCTTCGGTGTAGTGAAGTTGGTCCTGTCTGTCCTCCCTCCCTTCCTCCCTCCCCATTTGTGCTACAGTAACAGAAGTAAAATAATGCATGGACCTGTTCCCTAACACCAGAGATGATTTCAAAGAGGATTTAATTATGCTCCAAAATACAGCTATAAAACAACTCTTGGGTGTTCCTGTTTTTGTTGTTGTGTTTTGTTTCTTTGTTTGTTACAGTGTGATTTTTTTTTTTTTATAACAGGCTCTCTCAGGGAAGGTTTCGGTTTAAGACAAGGCACTTCCTTTGGTCTTTTCCCCAAAGCAGAGCTAAACCAGCCGTTAGAAACTCAGTTTCCCCCTGATTTTCCTCTCCTCCACGGAAGGTCAGGAGGTTTAGGCTGAGCAAACTGCATTGGGTGCACGTGGAGGCAGCAGAGGGCTTGGCTGCGTGATACAATATACACGGGATCAGGTTTTTGGGGTTAAAATTGACCCTGCAGTCTTCTGGAAGGGGTGTTGGAGACCCTTTGCTGGTGTCAGACCTATCAGGTGGGCTCAGCCACTCCCATCTTCCCCCTCACAGCATCCTCACCCGCCAGCCTTTTATCACATCAGCTGTTTTCTGGCCTGTTCCAGCACTGGGCACTGCATCTCGCAGATCAAACACCACCTGCCCCAGAATATGTACCTTTACCCTCCAAATTCAGGCGATTTTCTGCAGGTCACATGCCTGTGAAACCTCCTGCAGCCTGTGCGCAACCTGGCTGCAGCCGTTGCAGGGAAAAGTGCTATTTCCTGTCCTTTGAGGAATTTACTTAAGGAATTTACCTAAGGAATTTTCCTAAACCCGCACCAGAGCAGGCTCCCTGCCAGCAATTTCTGCCCAGTTCTCCAGGACCCACAAACTTTACTGTAAACACAACACTTGAATACAGTTTTTGTTCACTCAATTTAACTGAAAACCAGGTTTCAAAGCCTTCAGTTCACTGCCTTACCTTGAAGCAGGGGCTGCCATTCTTAAGATGATTAAATATTTCCTCGCCTCTACCCATTTCTGTCCCTGGTTCTCCTCGTCCCACACTCCATTTGGGGTGTCCCACCGCAAGGACAGCGTCTGCACCAGCAGCAGGCGAGGAGACAACCCGAACCCTGCCTGGGCATTCCTTAAATTGCTGCCCCATTAGCAAGTGTTTGGCCCTGCAGCTGGTGCTTAAGCAGCGCAGCCGATGGGGATGGGGCCCCATCCCCACAGGAGAGAGGATCCAGGGTGAAACACGTGCTCGGGAGAACAAATGAAGGGGTGGAAGGAGGAGGTTTGGGTCTGGCGCCCGGGATGGAGCCGGGGATTTCTCCCACCAACGCTCCTCTATCCACCCAGGAACCAAACTGGTGTTTAAATATTGACTCTCCTGCACAACACGGGGATGGGTGGGGATCGCGGCCGTTCCCTGCCTGCTCGGCTTATCAGCCTTCAGTGGAAAACAGAGATTGCCGGGACTTTGGCCTCGTCTGCTCCCGGTTGCCCGGGGGAGAAGGGAGGCAGCGACCGCAGCCGGGAGAGGGAATCTCAGGTCAAGGCTGGTCTGTCTCTCCACAGAGCTTGAATGCTTGGGTCTGGCAGGATTCAGGGAGCAGCGAGATGCTGGTGGAGCCTTTGTGCCCAGGGAGGTGCAGCTGACGACTGCACCATCCTCCCCCTTCCCCCTGCAGAACCTTTCTGTTCAGTCCAAACCCCTCACGGCCAGGAGGGAAACATCCCAGAAAACCTCTCCTCGGGATCGTGCGGTGTCTGTCCCCCTGTTGCCTGGTCAGTGAGAAGGCCAGGGGCTGCCAACCCCCCTGGCAGTGACAGAGGGCCCCATTTTGCAGCTGTGCATGAGGAAGTGCCCTGCGGCAGCGCTGCCCTCGATAAGGCTGTTTGTGCTGTTCTGCCACAGCGCCGAGCTCCACGTAGGCAAATAATTCCTTAAAAAAAAAAGCAACATATATATATATATATATATATATATAAGATAATAACCCTCACGGAGGAGATCCTGCCACCGGGGTGGTGGGAATGACTGGTGCCAGGAAATGCTGAGGGTGGGGACTTGGGTCAGACCCAGGCACCAGCAGCACGGTGGCCCTGGCCCTGTCCCCTGTCTTCACTTGGCCCTGTCCTTGGTGGGAGCAGGGCAGCCCCATCCCCTGGGATGGCCTTCATCCGAAGCAGAGGGTTTTGGAGGAGCTGAGCCCTGCTGGATTATTCCCCCCTGGACAAGGGAAATCCCAGCTGGAAACGGGGAGTAGAGGCCACGAAGGGCACAAAAGGAAAGCTCGGCGTGGTGCCCTGACCTGCCACGCTGGCAGTGGCAGCTCCATCCATCGCTGGTAAGAGGGTGGGAAGAACATGGGGAAGCTGCTTTCATGCTCTCCTTTGCTGCTTCGGGCCTTTTTGGGGAGGGAAACTCCCTCAAATCCCCCCAAGCTGAACCGCCCTGTCCCTTTCTGGGATGGCAGTGCTCTCGTGGGGAGCCAGCGGTGTTTTATCCCACCCTGAGGAGACCTGGGCCTTTTGGAGAAGAGGTGGCAACACAGGATGGGCCGAGACTCCTTTCCCTGCGGCCACTGTGGCCCCCACACACCTCCCTTGGCACTTGAATGGCATTGGGGGAGAAGCAGGAGGGGGAAAAAGCCTCCCCAGCTTTAAACTCAGCTCCTCTCCCCCCGCTGTGCCCCTATGGCCGGGCTGGTGGGGCGAGGGTCCACATCACCACCACGGCCGCCGCTGTTCGAGGCGCCGGCCCTCGCTGCAAGCATGTGAATCCCCTAATCCCTCGGAATGGAGTTTCTCCCTTTAAAGCCGCCTGCGCTCTGCGGCCGGGCGGCTCTTGTCAAGCTGCCAGAGGAGGCCGGAGCAGCGTCACATGCCGCAAAGTTTTACAAGGCGAGCGAGCGTCTGGGGAGAGGGACGGGAGAGGGGACGGACGCACGCACGCACTCGGACGCGCACGCGGAGAAACCTCCTCCGGGCTCCCTCCGGCTCTCATCCCAACGTTTATTAATTTTTTTTTTTTCTTCCTTCTTTTTTTTTTTTTTTTTTGGAAGAACAAAGACTTTGGGGTGGGTTGGCGCGGTTATTTTTCCGGGGTTGGTGTTGGTGGATGGAGGGGGGAGAGGCTGGAGGTGGAGGGGGGAGCCGGTGGCTTGAATGCGAGAAAGTCCCCAAATTTCCCTGGCCGAGTTGCCGAGATCCGTCTGTGCGAAACTTAAAGGAGGAAAGACGTGGGGGGGAGGAGGGGGGGGGGGGAAATAATTAAAAAATAAAATATGATGACGTCACTCGGAGCAGGGGTGCCTTCCCTGCTGCCTGTCAGATGCGCCTGAAAAGAACAGGGCAATAAAACAACAGCCGCCTCTGTCTCCCTCGTTAAACACGGCACTAATTGGATGTTAATTTCTCCTTGCTCTTCTCGCTGCTCGATTGTGAGGGCTCTGCCTGGCTCTCCCTCTCTCGCTTCCTTTCTTTCCTGTTGCAATGCTCTTGGCAGCTCTGAGGGACTCTGGACTGTGCGCTCTCCTCCCGCTCGTGGACTGGAATAATTCAGGAGCTGGGAGAATTAAAAAAGACGAGGCGCGGGGGCGAACGGTTCAGAAACGGGGCGGGCGTGATGGATTTCGAGAGCTACTCTAATCTCCCCGTTTCCCGTGCATTGTCCTGTCGACTTGGAGCTATTCTCTTCCCATTTGATTTCTCTTCCCCCCCTTTCCTTTCACGTTGGGTTTGGGCTGCCAGGCAAAAATATATGTTTCGGGGGGAAAAAAAAAAAAAAAAAAGGCAGGAAAAATAGAAAAAAGGCTAAAGAAAAAGGGAAAAAAGGCTAAGAAAAAGAAGAAAAAAGGGGAAAAAAAAGGGAAAGGGAAAAAAAAGCCTGGTTCAATGACGACAAACCCCCAAACCTCCTCCCAGCTCCCCCCGTCTCGCCGCGCTGCCTAACCCCTGCGTGGAAACAGGCGTTTTAGGGAGCCAGAGCAGGAAGTTGTTGTTCTCTGTCTTGCCCAGGTCATCCTTCCAGGGTATGTGTGCAAGGGCGGTGGGCGCGAGGGGCTCGGTGGGCACCCAGCAGCTGTCGGCCGCACCCCCACGTTACCCCTGGCCGACGGGGCGGGTGAGCAGCG